CCAATAAATTTTTAATTTCAGGTAACATATTTTTCCATTCTAGAATTTGTTTGGCTTATTTTAGTTTTTTATTTTAATGGTGAAAATTTCCATCTGTTTACTCACTGTGGTTGTATCTTTCCTTAAGCTGTTGAACAGATTTGTTATAGCTTCTGTAGAACCTTTATGAACTGATTCCCATAACTAGATCATCACTGTGACTTCATAAGAGTCTTGGTTTTATGTTTGTTAGGGCAGGTGTGTTTTGGTTTTGCCCTTAGTCCTGAGGCATATCCCTTAGTCCTAAAGACTTACCTTTAGTCCGAATGCAGGGTCTTTCTAAGCTTTCAGTAGAAAGTTTGAGTTGCTTATGAAACTCCTCTAAACTCAAATTCAAAACCCTGTGTCTCCTCATGCACAGCAGCTGAAATCTCTTCTCATATCTTTCAGTCTTCTAGCTATTACTTTATTTTGGAATATTTGGAGTCTCTCATTCATGTAAGTAGTTTGAAGGTTAGCCGTAGATTTGAGAGAAATTTATATGCATGTTTTGATGCTTCCTCCCTGCCAGAGGAAGGGCTGGCTCTTCCTGTTTTCTATTTTTTGTCTCAATTTCAAGCCACTGTGGCTGCCCTGAACTCCCCAAGCCAATAGACTGTCTTTCTAATTGAATTTTTAGCCATCCTGCATCAAATAGGCTGTGAGTACCCTCATGGAAAAAGCACGTAAACATGGATCTTACTAAGTGTGATTCTCCTCTCCTCTTTCTCAGTCTTCTTCTCCCCCCCAGTTTCCGCCTACTTTTGGTCAACCTGTAGTGCCTTTTTTTTTTTAAATATTTTTTCCATGGTTTATAATTGTTATCTGAGAAGAGTTAATTTAATACAAACAAACATCTCTGCCATTATTGGAACTAATACTCTTTGGCTTAAAGTTTTATTTTATTTATTATACACCAGTTGCTTCATAAATGTCTTAAGAACACAGTTTAAAAATTGTATTGTCTGTACATGAATAGTTTGTATACTATTGTCTGTACATGAATAATTGTGAGTAGTTTCACAAATATTAGCATTTGTGAAAGAAGTACTGAACCCTGAGTCCAGATGTACATGTGCCAATAGCACCTGTACACTAATGTCAAATGATCCAGTTTATTCTTTTAAAATATGTGTTTGAAATAATTTCAACTTAAATAATATAAGAATAAAACAAGTGGATAAATTTTAAAAAATTTAACTTGTTTAAATGGAAACTCAAATTTATAATGTTATTTTTTCTATTTCCTTAAATTTTATTCTTATCTGTTCTTTTCCAAAGAATGATAGTTGACCAAAAATGAATTATTTAAAATATCTGTGTCCATTGCTAATATAAATAAGTACATAAATGAATAAGCAGACAAATGGAAGAACTCATAGCTCTCCCTTCAGAAGAATCCCAATTAATTAACGTAGAAGGAAAGCGAAATTAAAAAATAACCATTAGGACGCAACAGTAAAAAATGACCATAGGCACGATCCAACAGTATGCTAAAATTGGCATGTAAAAGTTGAAGCAGAATCAAAATATTTGCATAGTCTTAAAGTATTTTCCTCAGTATATTTAGTAATTTCTAAAGGAAAAATATTTAGCTAATAATAGAGAATCTTGCTAGACACAATCTTAGGCAATTGGTCAAGGTTAACATCAGTCAATTTCTGAATACTCAGCAGTGTACCTCCTGACATGGTGCATTGAGAAAAGCACCTCACGTCTGTGGTCTCCTTCCCAATAATCTACAACCTCAATCTGATCTTGAGGAAACATGAGACAAACCCAAACTGAGGGACATTCTATAGATTAATCAGTACTCTTCAGCAGTGTCAGAATCATGAAAGACAAGCAAAGATGGGAAAATTGTCACAGATTAGAGAAGACTAAGGATACATAGCAACTAAATGCAGTATGGGATCTTGAGTTAGATCCTGAACGGAAGAAGAATGTTAGTGGAAAAACTGGTGAAAGTCAAATAAGTTCTTAACTTCGTATTGTACCAAGGTTAATTGGCTTATTTTGGTAAATATTCTCTGGTTGTGTAAGACCTCAATGTAAAGGAAAGCTGGGAAAGGCTGTACAGGAACTCATATCTATTTTGCAACTGTTCTATAAATCTAGAATTTTAGAAAGTTGATATTTTCTTATTATTGGTTATGAGATCCACTGTGTCTTAAGAATTTTCTCTTTAATTTCAACACATATGTGTATATCAAGAGTTCTCAAAGAGTGTTCTTAGACCAGTAACGTTAACATCAGCTGGGGATTTGTTAAAAATGCAAGTTCTCAGAAGCTCCAGGGATGGGGCCCAGCAATCTGTGTTTTAACAAGTCCTCCAGATGATTGCGATGGGCACTAATGTTTCAGAGCCCTGACTTGTACTTTCAGTAAAAACATGAGACTAAAAGGAAACATTTTAATCAATATATTGGCCAGTTATATTACAATAAAGTATCAGTTCAGTTTCGTCACTCAGTCCTATCCAGCTCTTTTCGATCCCATGGACTGCAGCACACCAGGCTTCCCTGTCCGTCACCAACTCCCGGAGCTTGCTCAAACTCATGTTCATTGAGTCACTGATGCCATCCAGCCATCTCGTCTTCTGTCATCCCCTTCTCCTCCTGCCCTCAATCTTTCCCAGCATCAGAGTCTTTTCCAATGGGTCAGTTCTTCGCATCAGGTGGCTGAAGTACTGGAGTTTCAGCGTCAACATCAGCCCTTCCAATGAATATTCAGGACTGATTTCCTTTAGGACGGACTGGTTGGATCTCCTTGCAGTCCAGGGGACTCAAAAATCTTTTCCATCACCACAGTTCAAAAGCATCAATTCTTTGGTGCTCTGCCTTCTTTATGGTCCAACTCTCACATCCATACATTACTGCTGGAAAAACCATAGCTTTGACCAGACGGACCTTTGTCGGCAAAGTATTGTCTCTGCTTTTTAATATGCTGTCTAGGTTGGTCATAGCTTTTCTTCCAAGGGGCAAGTGTCTTTTAATTTCATGGCTGCAGTCACCATCTGCAGTGATTTTGGAGTCCCAGAGAAAAGGTCTCTCACTGTTTCTGTTGTTTCCCCATCTATTTGCCATGACATGATGGGACCAGATGCCATGATCTTCATTTTTTGAATGTTGAGTTTAAGCCAGTTTTTTCACTATCCTCTATCACTTTCATCAAGAGGCTTTTCAGTTCCTCTTTGCTTTCTGCCATAAGGGTGGTGTCATGTGCATATCTGAGGTTATTGATACTTCTCCCGGCAGTCTTGATTCCAGCTTGTGCTTCATCCAGCCTGGCATTTCACATGATGTACTCTGCATATAAGTTTAAATAAGCAGGGTGACAATATATAGCCTTGACATACTCCTTTCCCTATTTGGAACCAGTCCATTGTTCCATGTCTTGTTCGAACTTGCTTCTTGACCTGCATACAGATTTCTCAGAAGACAGGTAAGATGGTCTGGTATTCCCATCTCTTTAAGAATATTCCACAGTTTGTTATGATCCACACAGTCAAAAGCTTTGCTATAGTCAGTAAAGCAGAAGTAGATGTCTTTCTAGAACTCTCTTGTTTTTTTCTATGACCCAACGGATGTTGGCCATTTGATCTCTAGTTCCTCTGCCTTTTCTAAATCCAGCTTGGACATCTGGGAGTTCTCGGTTCATGTACTGTTGAAGCTTTGCTAACCAGCGTTTTTGCTTTTTTTTAATTACGGTAAAATACATGTAACATTTACCACTTTAATTAGCTTTAAATATGCAGTTCATGGTATTAAATACATTCACATTGTTGTACAATAGCCACTACCACCCATCCCATAACTTTTAACATCTTATAAAACTGAAATGCTGTACTCACTAAACAGTAACTCCCTATTCCCTCCTCCCATCTAGTTGAAACCACTATTTTACTTTGTCTCTATGATTTTGACTAAATGGAATCATGCAGTATTTGTCTTTTTGTGACTGGGTTATTTCACATAGCGTAGTGTCCTTAGGTTTCATCCATGTTATAGTATATGTCAGAATTTCTTTTCAAGACTGAACACTGTTCCACTGTATTTATGTACCACATTTTGCTTATCCATTTATCTGTCAGTGGACATTTGTGGATCTTAGCTATTGTGGATAATGCTGTCATGAAAGTGAGTGTACAAATATCTCATAAAGACTCCACTTTCAGTTCTTAATGTACCCAGAATTGGAATTAATGGATCATAGGGTAATTCTGTTCTTAACTTTTTGAGGAATCGCTACTGTATTGTTTTTTTTTTTTCCCACCATGGCTATACCATTTTGCATTCCCACTAACAGTGCACAGGGGTTCCAGTTTCTCCACATTTTCACCAACACTTGTTTTCTGGTTTTGTTTTGTTATTAGTAACCATCCTAATGGTCATAAGGTGGTAACATATTGTAGTTTTGATTTGATTTCCTCTCATGATCAGTCATGTTGAGCATCATTTCATGTGCTTTTTAGCCATTTGTATATCTTCTCGGATAATCTCTATTTTGGTTCCCTGCTGGCTCAGCTGGTAAAGAATCTGCCTGCAATGCAGGAGACCCAGGTTCAATCCCTAGGTTGGGAAGATCCCCTGGAGGAGGGTATGGCAACCCACTCCAGTATTCTAGCCTGAAGAATCCCCATGAACAGAGGAGCCTGGTAGGCTACAGTCCATGGGGGTCCGACTTAGCACAGCACAATCTCTGTTTAAGTCCTTTGCCCATTCTGAATAACTGACACCTCTACCTTTCATATATACAGTGAAGTTACTACTGCCCACACACTTGTTCATGGTATGTCAATGGCACTTTTGGGCTGTCGCTTTTTTAGTTCCCCATATCTGCTTTGTCCCTCAGCTCCCATAAATCCAGAATTTACACATAGGATCTATTTGTGTGTTGATTTTTAGAAATGGGGCAGAATTTGAAAACTGTGTGACAGTATTTCAGTACCTAATCTTATTTCAAAAAAATTCTCTTTGCAGACATACAACAGCTGTGCCAGACTCTGCTTAAATCAAGAGACAGTATGTCTAGCAAGCACTGCTATGAAGACTGAAAATTGTGTGGCCAAAGTAAGTAATATTACACATTAATATATGTTATGTCACGTCATAACAATGGTTTATCTATAGATATCTTTACTCAGTATTGCTATTAAGGAGTATTATAGGATTGTTAAAAAGAATACAGCAGGCATCATTATATCCAAAGCAGATTGCAAGTTGAAGTTTCTATCTCTTCAGTCGCAGCAGAATTTTTTGATTGCGTGCTCTGGTCACACTTTAGCCTAATTCACATTTGTTGCTTGACACTAATTATGGATTATTACAAATAAGATTTTTGTGGGACGTCCCTAGCTGTCCAGTGTTTAAGACTCCAAGCTTCAACTGAAGGGGGCACAGGTTCGATCCCTAGTTGGGGAACTAAACATCCTACATGTCAGTTCAGTTCAGTTCAGTCACTCAGTCATGTCCAACTCTTTGCGACCCCATGGACTGCAACATGCTAGGCCTCCCTGTCCATCACCAACTCCCAGAGCTTGCTCAAACTCATGTCCATCGAGTCGGTGATGCCATCCAACCATCTCGTCTTCTGTCATCCCCTTCTCCTCCTACCTTTAATCTTTCCCAGCATCAGGGTCTTTTCAAATGAGTCAGCTCTTTGCATCAGGTGGGCAAAATATTGGAATTTCAGTTTCAGCATCAGTCCTTCCAATGAATATTCAGGACTGATTTCCTTTAGGATGGACTGGTTGGATCTCCTTGCAGTCCAAGGGACTCTCAAGAGTCTTCTCCAACACCACAGTTCAAAAGCATCAATTCTTTGGTGCTCAGCTTTCTTTATAGTCCACCTCTCACATCCATACATGACTACTGGAAAAACCATAGCTTTGACTAGACGGATCTTTGACCAAAAAAAAGAACAGATTTGTGTTAAAAAAAATAAAATTATTTTCATAAGTCCATTGGTTTTAAAATGTAATTGAGTATAGAGTACACCATTGTAGGATTGTGAAATATACTATAGAAAATCCAGTTATTTTATATCACTATTAATATTTATTGAGTAGCTATTGATAAATATATTGCTTTGGAGGTCTTGATCTGACTGGACAAGTATGTTTAATCATGCATATGGAGCTACTTGTTTCTCATGTATAAATGTTTGCTGTATCAATAGACTAGATACAAAAAATAATCATAGGTATTAGAGATCTTACAGTCTAATAAATGTAACAACTATGCCTCAAGCTTTCCATCTCTAATTACTTCGGAACTTTGACCTAAATTTACATATCAGCCATTTTGCTTATTCCAGAAGTAAGTGAAATTCCCATATGGGCCCTGTTTCCAAACTTTTACTCTGTATATCTGCAAAATTACTGCCTTTTATAACTATTCAGGAATTTGTCACTTTTACAACACTCCCAACTTTAACTAATTTAATCTATTATGTTATACATTCAGGCTGTCTCTTACTATTATTATTAGAGCCAGGCTTGGTATCATGTGTCTGCATTCTTTGCTACAAAAATCGAAGGACGGCAATATTTTTTATTTTGTTTTATTTCTTAAAACATGTAGTTTCAGTTGGTAAAGGACCTACTTTATCAACTGGAAATATATCATGCAAAATATAACCTTTGAGAATGATCCATAGAGAAATGTCAAAATTTATTAAAAATTATGGTGAAATAGGTAGAATTAGTTAAGTTCATAAATTAGGACATCTTAATGATTTACTGCAAAATCTGAATATTACAGTTTAACATATTTATTTTTTTCAGTCATATAGTCACAGCCATCAAGTGCTGATTCACCCTGTTTTGTATCCAACATTTGTACATTGAGATGGGGGACAAATAATTTGGGCCTTTGAAAATAATCTCTTTATTTTTTGGCCATGGTGTTCTCAGTTTTCATCACAAGTGGGTAACTTCTGGCTAAACAAGGCAAAATCTTGGCATGAGCACTGATCCAAGGACAGGGTGATGATTTTAATGAGTTTCATTGAGAGCTGGCCAAATGAGCATCTGTTCCTTTTGTTTTCTCAGTACTTTGTAAGCCAGGATCTCTAAGCTACATAGTTATGTTGGTGTATGTCTGTATGATGGTTTTTTGCCCCCTTCTCCTACCCTCTACTTCAGTGGTGCATGTAGGCACAATGGCATAAATTCTTCTATGCTCTTGGGTGAGGAAATAAGTTTGCTCATTGCTGCTCATCAGTCTGTTTTTGTTGCTCCCAGATGGTGACCCTCTCATCCCATTCTTGCTTGTTTTAATATTACTCTGCCACCTACATCTTTTCATCATCTCCTTAAATATACTAGTTTAATAATGAGTTCTTTATTTCCTGTTGGAACCCACTTAACTTTCTGGTTCCTTTTATTGAGACACATCTTCATCTTTTGTTTCATTGCTTCAGATTTGAGCCAAATAATCTGTTGGTCAAGGCAAATAAAAACATGTAGCTGAAAAAATTTCTTTCTTGCAACAGTTTCCAGTGAGGTGCAATAACATGGGAATAGGAAAAGAGTTTTCCCTTTTTTATTTGCATATTTTATATGTATCTCAGGATTCTGTGCTGCTGCTCTTGGCCTCATTTATTGCTTGCCCTTTGAAAAATAATGAGTTACCAATATTTTCGTAGGTCTGTAAGCTTGTCCCTATTTCATGCTCTTCACCTTTGGCCTTTAACAGGATAGTTTCACCTGCTGTACTTTATATATGGCTATGGTTTTTAGCTTTGTACTGGTATCTATTATTGATTCAGACTGTGCTCCACAGTGGCCTTGAATGTCCAGTCATCTCCATAGAGAGCAGCTATAGTACAGTGATATCAACCATTTTTGTCCTCTAGTTCAAAACAACTAATTCTGATAGGAGTGACTTTGGTTTGGGTGGAAATGGTAATTGAAGTCTAAGATCTTATTGAATACTGTTTATATGAGTTTTAGAGAAGACATTAATACCAGTTAGTCCCTTTAAGTATAGCAATACTGTTAGGTTTGAACCCCTGACCTAACCTATGTATGCGACTCTTCTTTGCCAGGGGTATCTTAAAGTACATGTTTTATAATAGGTCTATGAAAAGAGACCCTTAGTCTTCTTTAGAATACAAGAAAGTAAAGTTGTAAGGCAAAACTACAGCTACTCTGGGTTAATCATAATCATTGAATCTCTAAGAATGAGTCTTAAAATATTTTAAGATAAAAATGGAGAAAGAGTCATTTCATAGTATAACTTAATCCAAGTAATATTTGGAGGCATTGAGATGTTTTTTATTTCTTCCATAGCCTTCCTTCTTACTAATTATAGCCCTGTAGTTCATGAGATTTGTGTTTGGAACATGATAAGCTCTGTGTTTATTGTAGCTTTAAATGGACAGTCATTATTGACTGCCAACTTAGTCTTTAAAATCAATAATCATGTTGTACCTAATTGTCAGCCTTTGTGATGTTTTTTAATTGGTAAAGAAAGCTAACTGGAAAAATAAAGAGCATTAATTTTTATCTTTTTGTTGACTTTATTTAATTATTGAAAATTTTTGGTTTCAAGCTTTTCCATAATACACCCTTCCACACACACATACAGTTAAAACTGAGTTGTTTTGAACCATCTGCCTAGATTTCTGCCTGGGTCAGAGAAGTTCTGCCTCTTTGTATTTAGAAAATAAACCCCTTTCACAGGCCTTTGTAGATGTGTTCTATATTATAGTAGTTGTTGTTTGTTACTGTTTTTACTTCAGACTAATAATCTTTTTGCAACTGACTGAGACAGAAAAATGTGATGTTCCTTTCCACTCACTCCAGATTTTGATAGAAGACTTGTTTTATTTATTTCCAAAATTATATCCGCAGGAAACAAGCTGTTTAAATTCAGATTATGCTGAAGCAAAATGGTCCTGGTATGAGAAGCAACGTGCTGTTTTACGAGCACAGAGTCCCTTTTCTCATAACTGATTGATAGTAAATATTTTCCTGAAGAATTATTGCCAACCATGAACAGTGCAACTGTTTCACTTTTTTTCTGTGCTACTTGCTGTACCAGCCATTGTCGGTAATTAAGATCTACAATTCACAATGCAGACGTTTGCACTTCCTCTGGGTCTGTGCTATTTATAAGGCATTTCAGCTGTTCAGAGTTTCTTTTGAGTTTTAAACTACATGTTAACAGGCTTCTTTAATACTGTTCCACAAGTAGCATGTCAGATGGTTTGTTCTATGCACAAGCTCCTCTGTTGGGTCTAAAGAGTAGCTTTGTGGAGAATATATTATGATTTCACCATATCACTGAGGCTGATATGATTGGAAAAAGTATAAGATATACATATTGTAAGTATTATAAAGTGAAGTATAAGCATTACACATTAGGCTCATTGCCATTTTAAAGAGGCAGGAATTAAGGTCAGAAGTAATATTTTTTGTCTTTAAATATTTATATGAATTTAATGAATGCTAATGGGGGTGACAGAGAAGTGCTGAGAAATACTAGTACAGTGACTTTTCCAAGCTCACTTTGAAGTAATAATATTATCAAGGACTCATTATAGATAAAGACTGTGTGTATTTGATCTGACTAAGGATATGAGAATATGTAACCTTCTAGATGTGCATGATATTTAAGAATACAAACACAGGGCACCAAAATGGATCAGCAGATTGACTGTGCATTTGCTGTGTAATCAGCTTTAGGAATCCTAAGTAGCATATGCCACTGGAGGAGAAAGTGTAAACAGGAATCCTGATCTGTATTAAAATCGGTAAAATTCTAAGTCATTTTCAACCATTTCAAAAAAGTTAATTAAAAAGAAAAGTCAAGACCCCAGTGAGAATCTTCATGCATTATGGTCTAGAGTAACAGACCATAATGCATGAAGACTTGCTACCTGGACTCATTGTTACACATACAAGAAAAAGAAACTGAAAACTGCAAACAAAATATGTTAAACTTTGCCCTGAGTGGGGAATCAGGCTGACTGTTTTTAAGCCTGAAGTCAGAGGCATTGATTCTGCACATCAGCCACCAGCATCTTCAGCAGAGCAGAGCTGTGGAGAAAGGCAGGATAGGGG